TGGGGAAATTTTTTTGAGTGGTTTGATTGAATTTTTTGTCTTGATTTAGTGGAATTCTATTTTTCTTTTTACAAAAATAATAATTAATAAATAAATTTTATTAGAGGTTAACAACTTAAAATTTGATTTGATGACATCCCATTCTGGCGATGAGGCGCGCGGCGCATAGGCCGCATAGGCCGCTAGGTGGAGTTCTAGTGGAATTCTAATTTTAACCTCTCAAACAAGTGAAGAAGTACTAATTAAGCTTATTTTAAGTGTAACAGAATATTTTTAAAAAGTCTATAATACTCTAATAGAAATATGGGTATATTAAAAAATTAGACTGAAATTCTTTTTATATCAAATTAAACAAAAAAAATAAAAGAAAAAAAATATTTGTTCCCTCTTCCCCTTCCCCCGTTCGCCTTCAAAAGCATAATCCCTCTTCTCTGGTGAACTCGTGAAGTCCAAATGGACTACCAAATCAAACAAAGTGGATTTCCATTTCTTTCCCAATCAAAACCCATAAAATTTTGGATCCATTAAGACTTTTCAATTCTTGCCACCCAAAAACAAAAATCATGTTCATCCAACCCAAATCACCAGGATAACATCCAAACAAACAAAAAAATCAGATTAGTAACCTTTGAGGAAAAACCATCCAAAGAAACACAAAATCAAATGGAAAAACTTTGAAAATATTATAGAAGAAAATTTGCAGCATTTGCGTTAAACTGATTCGGGTTAAGGTCTTGTTGTGGGTTGTTGTGGGTTCTAGCATTGGCGAAAACTGAAAAATCTAAATGTTCTCATTTCACAAAGAACCAAGAAATCTTAGATTTCTCTCACATGGGCAGGGAACTAAATATTTTCGGTTGTGTTGTGACACAGCCAAGATTGGATGTTGGTTTGGAAACCCTTGAAAGCAGAACAGAGAAGTTTTAGGGAAGAAGATGACTGATAAGCAATTTTGTAATTTTAATATTTTGTAATAATTTTTTATTAATTATATAATGACATAAAAGTGTCTAGTTTAAAATGAGAGGAAAGAGATTTATGACATTTGATTTGACAAAATGATTATCCAAAACAAGTAAATTTTGGGTACACTTAAAAGTATTTTAGTTAGAATTTTTTCCCTTAATTGAAACAAAATTTAGAATCATCACCAAATTGTGAGGGAAATTTTCAAGGATCCACTATATAGAAATTTTTCCTAAAATTCTAATATTCTAATTATTATATCTAAAAAAATGTATTATAGATATTAAAAAAATTATTGATATACTTATAATAAATTTAAAGTATTTTCACTTATATACCATTATAAATTACGTCTTTATTAGATAATAAAAAAAATTTAGTGGATGTATCATAAAAGAATTTTTTTTAATATTTAGTGTATTGATTAATTTATTTAAAATATTTTTAATTTTTTATCATCAATTTTAATATTTTGATTATCAAAAACGTCTTAATTATTATATATATGTTCATTATTTGTATGGATTGAATATTTGGATCAAGATGAGTCGATAAGGTAGAAAAAGAGATCAGAGAAGTGAAGCACATACCTTCAGATGGGTCAGTGGTGGCATTTTTAGCTCTGGATTTTCCAACTGATGATAAGAAGAAGATGAAGCAGAAGCGAGCAACAGCCAGCGCAGAAGCAGAAGAAAGTATCTTCATTCTTCTCTCTCCAATTCTATCGCTACACAGCAGACTTGGAAACCTCCACTAGAGATATATATGGTGAAAACGTCCGCCACATTAAAGATTTTTTGGGCGTGAGTAGGGATGTTGATAGGCCCGTGGGGTTGCGGAGTTCTTCCTTGTTCTCGTCTCTGTTCCCGTTTTCGTGAATTCCCTCGAGAAATTTTAACAGGGATAAATTTTTCCTCTCATTCTTGTTTCTCTCTCCATGGAGATTCTCATTTTCTTTGTTAATTAATATCAAAAAAATAAATTTTTTACTTATAATTAATTCATATTTAATTATAATAAATAAAATTTTAAAAATTTAAGTATAATTAATTAAATTTTTTTAAATATAAAATTAAATATAAAGTATCTAAATATAAATAAAAAATTAATTCAATATAAATAATTAAAAAATTAATAATGAATGGGATAAAATTAAATTAAATTTTTATTAAATTAAATTTGAATTAAAAAATTAAATTAAATTTCAAATGAAATTTTTTTTTTCATTTTTCACAGAAAAAATCCACGGATGGAAATATTTCTCTACAAAATTTTGCACGAGCAAAATGTCTATCGTCCCCGCTCTATAAGAAAAAATATTCTTTCCCATTCTGTGCTCGGACGAAAATTCCAACAAAATTTTACGAGAATCGAGATAAATTGCCACTTAATCGTGAGGACCAGTTGAGTCCTAATTAATTAATGCAAGAGCATATTTAATTGATTTGAGTGCCGTGCATGACCCGCCTATTCCATTGAATATATTCTCTCTTTTTTGTCTTTTTTTTTTTCTTATTCAAAAGTAAGAAAACAACGTTAATTTTAGAATTTTTTTATTTAATTTTTTATAATACTTGTTGATATTCAGTGATCTATAATAAATACATATATATGTTCATTATTTATATGGATTGGATATTTGGATCAAGATATATGAGTCGATGAGGTAGAGAAACAGATCAAAGAAGTGAAGTACCTTCAGTGGCATTTTGAGCTCTGAATTTTCCAACTGATGATAAGAGGAATATGAAGCAGAAGTGAGCAACAGCCAGCGCAGAAGCAGAAGTAATTAAGTACCTTCATTCTTCTTTCTCTAATTCTACCGTAGCTAGCGCCGTGGACTTGGTAACCTCCGCTACAAGTTGAAGACTTTTTTTGGCCGTGAGGACCGGTCGAGTCCTAATTAATTAATGCAAAAGCGTATTCCTTCCAACTTAAGTGATTTGACGTGCCATCCATGGTAGACCTATTGTATTGAAGATATTTTTATTTTTTTATTAAGTTTGTTTTACATGTATTTTTAAAATATAAATTAAATTAATGTATAATAAATATATATTTTTATAATTAATTTAAATAAAAATTTAAAAAAAAATTAATATTTATTTTAATATTATTAACATATAAAATATTTTAATTAATTAATTAATTAATTTAAATTTAACAATTATACTTTTAACATATAAATTAAAAAATTTTATTTTTTATTTTTTGACAAGGATAATGGTTAAAAAATTAGTTTGAATTAGTTGTTAGTAACTGGAGATTCGATTTCCAGACCGGATGAATATTTCACCCCTCAAATAAGATGTCAAATAAGATGCACGACTATCAAATCGCTTTGGTGGAATTCAAGTTATCAAGACGGTGATAGAGTTCGAAACTTCGACCATCTCACTCAAGCACTTAAGGTTTGAGATCGAATCATTGAATCTAAAGACCCGCTTCTAAAAATTCTTACTTGTATTCAAAGAGTATTCACGGATAGTTTTTGTGCATGTCCACACTACTTATTTCTGACCATTTTTAAAAGGCATAAATGACGTTAGGTTGGTACATTTCATAAAAATGTATTTGAGTCTCAAAATTTAAACCATAAATTTAATAAATCAATAATATTCAAAACGATATTTGTCTACCATTACCTTGAAGATATTCTCGGAACAAACCAATCCACTCCAAAATAATTGGCATTGACACCAGTTGACCTCATAATAATTAATTTGCGAAACACCCCCTCTTAAGCCTTCAGAGTCACACTAAAAATGACTAAATGGACACATGAATCCATAAACTAAAAATAATATAAATAAACTCTCAAATCTCTTGATACAAATTAGTCCTCAAATTCTTGAAAAATACGAATCAGCCACTATCATTTACGGGTTAACACATGTAACTTCACGTTGTTTGGTCTTTTCTTTCTCTTGATCCTTTTTTTTAAATATAGATACTGATATGAATCAAATGAATCTTTTGATTGAATTTTTATCACTTAAGGGGGTCCTTTGATACATGTTACTGTTCACATAAAAAAAATGAAATCAAACATAGAAAAAGAACAAAAAGCATAAAGTCAAATGTATTAGACCATTATAATGAGAGTTGATTTATATCTTTTCAAAATTATAACATTAATTTATACCATTTAAAAAAGAAAAGTTTTATTTATATTATTTTTAATTTAAAGACTTATGTATTAATTTAGAATAAATAAGTCTCAAGACCTAAAAAAAAAATAAACAAAAGTGTGTTTTTGCCCAACTTAAGGACTCCATTGTGTTGCTGCAGCAAATCTTTCAGGCCTCCTGTGCTATAAACTTCTTGTTGAATTGACTTGCAAAATCCCGAGGGTTGGCTTCGAAATAAATGCTCCAATACTTAAGTCAGTAATAATTTAATCTACTCTCAACAAGGATCTTGAAAAAGTTCTTTTTCTAGTTTTTCATCATACTTCTTTTGAGCTATGCATGGACGTATTCATATATTTAAATTGGGTATCCACAAGACTTTCTTAATCATTATTACTATGACATGATGTGTTTGACGAGACAAGCATCTGTGGTGAACGTAACATGTTTTAACGAAACAATCACATTAAATGACCGTAACGTATTCTGACGGAGGAAGTCTCTTGAAAACGAAGGATTCGGTGAGGATTAGTAATCGAGTACAGGCATCCTCATCGTAATCTTCGTGCAGTTGTGATATTGTAGACAAGGCACGTAGCTCTGCTCTGCTACTGTGACAGGGTGTTGAGCTCTGTCCTCTATTCTGGCACTGTGACAGAGTCGAGCTCTGTCCTACCCTTACACATTGCACAAACACGAGAGAAAGGTTTAAACGTATTGTGATGTTAATCACACAACATCATGTCGCTAAACTAATGGTCCTACTGGTTTGATCAGTTTTGGAATCATTAGGTGTCCTGTTTCTGTTCAAAAAGGCTAATGGTTCTACCGTCGAGTCACCCAAGTTGACTTCGCCTTCTCTTTTTTGAGGTTATTTCCCGATCCCTTTCGCCCTGGAATAAGGGGACATGAATTCGTTTGAAAGTATTAGGACTTTTTAACTTAGGGTTTTTTTAT